TATTCTAATTATGAGAGATTGGAATGGAGTAATTGATTCTAAACTAGATAAAAAGAGTTTGGCGAAATCTAGGATTAGATTACCACAGACTTTTTTTGATATGAAAGAAGACTTGGAATTAAAAGATATTTGGAGAATACATAATCCAAAAGAATTGGATTATACTTTTTTTTCCGACAGACATAGATCCTTCTCTAGGATTGACTTCATTTTGTTGTCAGATGATCTACTTGTTAAGACAAAAAGAACAAAGATTTTCCCAAGAACCTTGACCGACCATAGCCCCGTATGGATAGAAATCGAGATGGGCAAGATTGAGCGACGTTCTTGGAGAATAAATGAAAACTTGTTCAGATATGAAAAAAATATAATAGAACTTAAAAAGCACTTGAAGGAATTTTTTGAAATAAATTTGAATAAAGGTACCCCAATTGAAATTGTGTGGGATGCGAGCAAAGCTTATATGAGAGGGGTGCTTATTTATATGAACTCCAGACATAGATTGATTTGACAAAAGAAAAGATCTGAATTGGAAGTAGAAATAAAGAACAAAGAACAGCTACTTATTAAAAACCCAACAGATGAAAGAATACGTGGTGTTATAAAACTTTTGAAAGACCAATTTCAAATGCTTATGGCGGAACAAGTTGCAACAAACTTACAATATGCGAAGCATAATACATTTTGTAATGCCAATAAACCGGGCAGATGGTTGGCCTACACATTAAGGAAAAAGCAGAGTACACGGACTATTGATAGTATTGATATTGGAGGGAAAGAAATCTTTCAACAAAAATTAATTAAAGAAGCTTTTGTGGACTATTATACTAAACTATATGCTAAAGATGATGTGCAGAATGGACTTATAGAAAAATACTTAGATAATAAAAAAGTTACAAAAATTACTGACCAACAAAAGGAAAGAATGAATTATCCTATAACAGAGGAGGAGATAATAGTAGCAATTAAACAATTAAAAACAGCTAAAGCTCCTGGAACGGATGGTTTGACTGCAGTGTATTATAAAAATTTACAAGCAGAAATGGTGGAACAACTTAGAGATCTATTTTGTAATATTCAACAAGGGGGTAAAATACCCCCATCATGGACAACAGCTTATATTTCTCTGATACCAAAAGAGCAAGCAGGTCCAAAAAAACCGGAGAATTATAGACCAATATCTCTTCTGAATACTGATTATAAAATTTATGCAAAAGTACTAGCCAACAGGTTGATGCCAGTAATTCAAAAGGTGATTCATGATGATCAAGCGGGATTTATCGAGGGTAGATACATGAAGGACAATGTAAGGCAAGTAGTAGACTTATTGGAATATCTTGAGAAGAATAAACAGATCCCTGCAGTGCTGGTCTTCCTGGATGCAGAGAAGGCCTTTGATAGAGTGGACTGGAATTTTCTACTAAAGACTTTAAAAAAGATGGACTTTGGGGATCAATTTATACAGGCGATCTCAGCAATTTACCAAGAGCAAAAGGTACAGATTATTATTAATGGAAGTTTGACAACAGAGTTTAAAATTGAAAAAGGAACAAGACAGGGATGTCCGCTGTCCCCATTGTTATTTATTTTAACACTAGAAGTCTTGTTAAATACAATACGGGACTCTAATGTCTTGAAAGGTATAATGATAAGGCAAGAGGATTACAGAATAAAGGCATTTGCAGATGATCTGGTCATTACCCTAACACAGCCAATGGAATCAATAATCCAGATGAAGGACATTATACAAGACTATGGTAAAGTTTCAGGTTTTAGACTGAATCAGAAAAAAACTAAGATGATAGTTAAAAATATGACACAAGATCGTAAACACGAGCTTGAAAGGAGGGCAGGTTTTGAGATTGTACCAAAGGTAAAATATCTAGGAGTTCAGGTTGCAGAATCAAACATGAAATTGTTTCAAAATAATTATGAGGTGTTGTGGCGAGAGGTGCAGAAAGATATGGAGACTTGGAAAAAACTGCAGCTGTCTCTACTTGGTAGAATAGCAGCAGTTAAGATGAACATTTTGCCAAGATTTCTTTTTCTGTTTCAAATGATTCCGGTGCTTAAAAGTGATAAACAACTGAAAGTCTGGCAAACTGGAGTGAATAAGTTTGTCTGGAACGAGAAAAAACCGAGAGTGAAATTGAAAATTATGCAAGATGTTCCAGAAAGGGGAGGTCTTAAACTTCCAAACCTACAGTTATATTATGAAGCAGCAGCTTTGACCTTAGCAAGTGATTGGTTTGGAAGGAAAAAGACTGGAATACTGAATATTGAAAGTTTTGATCTTGAATTTGAATGGCATGCTTACTTATTTTATGACAACAAAGTGGACAAAGTATTTAAAAGCCATATACTTAGAGACTCTTTGATGAGAGTTTGGAAGAAGCACCGATTCAAATGGGATTATAAAATACCGCTATGGCTGGATCTTGGTCATATTATGTGGAATACAAATATAATGTCACTCGGGGGGTTTTTATACAAAGAGATTCTTTTTACAGATGCGGGCAGATGGCAGTTGAAGACATTACAGACACTGTTGGATGAAGGGATTAACTTAACTTGGTTACAATATAATCAATTACAATTGAGATGGAAAGAGGACCAAAAAACTGGTATTATGTTGCATGAGGAAGAATTGGTTAGACATATAAAAGAGAAAGGTCCAATGCATATTAAAAGGCTTTATAATGTTTTGTTAGAAAGGGATTCAGAAACTGAATTAGTTAAAGATTGTATGATTAAGTGGGCACAAAATTTTGAAGAACCAGTGATGCTGGAAACATGGGAAAAAATTTGGGTTCAGAACGTTAAATTTACACAGTTGCAGAATTTGAGGGAAAATTTCTATAAAATGTTTTATAGATGGCATTTAGACCCCAAAAAGTTGTCGTGTATGTACCCTAATGTTCAGCCAAAATGTTGGAGATGTGATTGTTTAGATGCTACATATTATCATGTTTGGTGGACTTGTAGGAAAGTTAAGGCTTTTTGGATCAAAATTTGGTGGGTCATGCAGAATGTTTTGAAGAAAAAAATTCAATTTTCTCCACAACTGTTTTTATTGGGTATAGTTAAGGGTTTTACATTGGGTGAAACAAAATTGATATTGTATATAACAGCAGCAAGATTGTTGATAGGTAAATACTGGAAAAATGAAGCTTTGCCCACTATCGAGGAATGGACTTTGAAGATGGCCAGTTTTGCAGAGATGGCGAAGATTTCAGCATACTTAAAAGATTGTTCACAAGAGACTTATGAATGGGAATGGAAAAAGTGGATAGATTATGTTCAGAACAAATATCAAACTAGGAAGTATCAAATAGCTTTCATTTGAAAATGATATATCAAGATAGTAATATTTCAATGTAATGAAGATAAAAAAAAATTTATAAGGGGGAGGGAGGGGTTCAAGTTTTATATAAGTTTTATACTAAGGGTTTTTTTTTTACCTGACATGAGTATATTGTGTGGAAGTCCAGGGGGAGGGGAGGGTTACGGAGGGTTAGGGAGGTTGGGAAGTTTGGGGTGGGTTGAGGGGGGGGGAAAGGGGTGAAAATGTAATTGTAAAACTTTTGCAATAAAAAAAAAAAAAGAAGCCTTCCCTGGACCCGGCTGTTTTATCAAATTATCATCCTGTCTCCAACCTTCGTTTTGTGGCGAAGGTTGTTGAGAGTGTGGTGGCACGACAGCTTCCTCAGCACCTGGATGAAGCGGATTATCTGGATCCGTTCCAGTCGGGTTTCAGGCCTGGGTATAGCACGGAAACGGCATTGGTCACATTGGTTGATGATCTCTGGAGGGCTCGGGACAGGGGTTGTTCCTTTGTCCTGGTCCTGTTAGATCTTTCAGCGGCTTTTGATACCATCGACCATGGTATCATGCTGCGCCGGCTGGAGGGGTTAGGAGTGGGGGGCACCATTATACGGTGGTTCGCCTCCTTCCTCTCTGGCCGTACACAGTCTGTGTTGGCAGGGGGGCAGAGGTCGACCCCAAGGCGCCTAGTTTGTGGGGTGCCACAGGGGTCGGTCCTCTCGCCCCTCCTGTTCAACATTTATGTGAAGCTGCTGGGTGAGATCATCCGTGGCTTCGGGGTGGATTTCCATCAGTACACTGATGATACTCAGCTGTACATTTCCACCCCGGGCCACCCCAATGATGCCCTTGAAGTGATGTCCCGATGCCTGGAAGCCGTACAGATCTGGATGGGGAGGAACAAGCTCAGACTTAACCCCTCCAAGACCGAGTGGCTGTGGTTTCCGGCGTCCCGTCATAGTCAGTTGACTCCATCACTGACTACTGGGAGTGAGATCTTGACCCCCTCAGAGAGGGCTCGCAACTTGGGTGTCCTCCTGGACTCACAGCTGTCTTTAGAAGAGCACTTGACAGCTGTGGCCGGGAGGGCATTTTATCAGGTTTGCCTGATCCGCCAGTTGCGTCCCTTTCTGGATCGGGACTTGTTAAATATGGTCACTCATGCCCCGGCTGTTCACCGCCCTGAGTCCGAAAGGAGAAGGGCAGTATAGAAATTTGAATAATAAATAAATAATAAATTCCCTACCTGCATACCTTTTGTCACGCCCTAAAAACATTATTATTCCAACAAGCAGGGCTCGCCTAAATAATAATAATATTTTTACTATTTTAATGGGTTGTTTTATTAGAATTTTCGGCCAATTGATTTAATTGTTTTAAATTGTTTTAAATTTTTATACTCTCATGGTTTTATTTCTGGCTGTACACCGCCCTGAATCCTTCGGGAGAAGAGCGGTATAGAAATAAAATAAAATAAAATAAACATGCACAATAGCTGAAAACCAAGCCAATTTGTGATGAATTAGTGCATAAACTCATCCTATTCATCCTCTAAAGACAAATTTGTGATATAAAAAAAAATGGCCAATGGCTATGTACCTGAGAGGCTGCACAGAGCAAAGGTTGGATTAGATAGACCCTCCAATTTAGTCCGATTTCACTCCACTAATGCTCACCTCCTTTTCACTGTGCTTCTGTTTCCACCGCTGCTTCAGCTTTAGAGTATCTACAAAAAAAAACAATTGCTGTGTACTTAACATTACAAAATACAAGAGCAATGTTGTACACAACAAATGAAATTGAGGTATTAATCATATAATTAATTTACCATTTAAATTTATGAAATAATCCCAAGTACTAGCTGATCGTATGTGTTAAATCCAGATTCAGTTTAAGCTAATGCTTATGCATTATGCGATGCCTGAACAAATAACTCATTATGGCTTCAAACAATGTATGTTTTCACAATATTTTGAACCACAAATTTCCTAATTCTATTTCATCATGACCTTGTTTCTACCCTACAATATACTTGATCTCTGGCAATTGTTCAGCTAATAAAAAGCAGACAATCAGTTTCCTCCAAGCATATGGTGTGGTATACTGGCTTGACAGCCGCAGATAAAAAAACATTATAGAGGGTGGCGAGCACAGCACAAAACATTGTGGGCTGTCCCCCGATACCACTAGATGACATTGCTAGGGCTCGCTGCCTTAGAAGAGTGAGGAAAATCCTTAGGGACAACTCACACCCTGGTCAGCACTTCTTCTTCTCCTACCATCGGGAAGGAGATATAGAAGCATGGCAGCCACACAAACAGGCTGAAGAATAGTTTTTATCCGTGGGCTGTCAGACTCCTGAATGAAAAATAACAACATAGTATGATTGACTTGCAGGGCCAGCGCAACGTGCAATAGGATTGGGTGTTTGTTAGCAGGATTCACTGGGATAGGGATTTTCTGTCTTTCACTGTGAGTTGTATTGGGGGGGGGGGGGGGGTGCACCAAGGGAGGCTCAGCCAATCTCATAGAACACATGTTGTACTCTGACAATAAAATTTTGAAGACCAGCCACTTGGGAGTGTCTCCTGGCCGGGCCTCCCTCAATGCAAGGGTCAGTTACCAGCTTTTGCAAAGACGCTCTCATCTGCTGAGGAAAGCTCCGACTGTAGCTCCTCTTCCTCCTCGCTATCCCCGGTCTTTGCCTCATTTTCCTGGGTGGTCTCTCCGCAATCTCTCTTTGCTGCTCCTTCTTTGGTCGCGGCCTCCTGCGGAAGGATGAAAGGCCTCCTGCTCAACCACCCGGGCCAAAGCCCCGCGCCCAACGGGCCTCCCCCTCCCGAAGGGAAGCGCCGCCAGGGCAGGCCCCTCTGAGGCGACGCTGCGAGCGGCTTCTGACCTGAGCTCTGCGCTGTCTCCTCACCGTCGCGATCTTCTCATCCAAGCTGGTGGCGCAGCGCTGCAAGAGGGCCGAGAGGTGAGGGTGACGCGGCCTCCACCGCCCCCGCCCCCGCCCCGGGCCCCGGTTGCCTACCTTGCGCTTGAGCTGCCCCAGCGCCTCCGCCCAGGCCCCGCTGGCCGCTCCCGCCGCGGCTTCCTTCTCGGAGAACGCGAAGCCCGCCGCGAAGTCTCCACGGCCCGCGGCCGCCGGCTCCTCCTGCAGGGAAGGCGAGGCGGGGAGGGTCGGTGGGCGGCCCGAATCTCCCACCGACTCACCCGGGCCGACCCGACTCGCTGCCCGGCCCTCACCTCCGATTCCGAGTCCGTCCGCTCCTGCTCCGCGTCCGGATCCTCCAGGCTCCGCTTAGCTCCGGCGCTGGCCTCCATCGTGGCTGCGGAGAAGCACGCGACTTCCGGTGTTCCGGCCCTTCGCTCCGGCCGGAAACGTAGAACGCTCCGAAAGGGTTCCCGCCCTCGAGCGCCCCCAGCGGCAGCTTCGGAAGCGCTCGGGCGGGGCGGGGCGGGGCGGGGCGGCGCTTCAAAGTCTCAACGGTCTTGTTGGGGGGGGCAGGGAGGGATGGCAGGGGGAGGAGAGCAGCCGTGCGCGTCCCCCCCCCCGCACAGCTCCCCTTCCCCCCCCCCCCCCCCCAGTGGCCCGTCAACCGCTCCGCGGAGAGGCGCCTGTAGGATGGGCGCCTTCCAGTTCTTGAGCAGAGCGGGCGAGGCTCTCTGGCGTGGCCGGCCGAGGGGCGGCGGGATTGCGGTGGGCGCCCTTAGAGCGGCGTTCAGGATTCCACAAGGATCCCAAAGGTGCTTCCAGAACCACAGGGCTGGCTGGTGCAGGAAAGGAGTTTGCGCGTTTGGGAACGGCCTCGCCAGTGTTTCTCAAAAGGGTGGGGTGACTTAAAGGAGGTGGGCGACCCTCTCAGGGCACAAAATAAAAATTATTTGCCAGCCTATGTTGAAAAATAAGACAAACTTAAAATGCCACCAAACAATCTGAAGTAGAGAATGTGTCAATTTTTAAGACGGTCATGCAAATAAAATGATGATGTTGGGGTCCATCATTTTTAAAATGGGGAACAGGTCTTGAGAGAAGAAAGTAGCAACCTTGTGGAGCCATTTTAACTATGATGTCATTGAAATGCGTGGGGTGGCCCCAGACCTGCTAGGTGGCCAAGGAGACTGAGGTTTTGCAAGAAAAAAGTCAGGAAAGCAGGCAGAGGAAAGCAGGTGGGCCCAGGAAGCCATGGGGTCCCCGCTTGTGCACCTGTGGCCTTCACCATCTTCTGAAGCTGGGAATAATTCAACGTCGCAGCGATGCACCATTGGCAGAATTTTTTGAGATTTGTCTGCGACCTGAAACCAAACGTGAAACTCTGGAAGTCCATGCGGGCTTCACTCCACGTAGCAATTAATTGACTTGAATAAACCCAAGCTCCATTCCCCATTTTGATACACGATAAAGGCAGCAAAACCTCTTACTGAGAAGCTGCTCTAACATCTGTAGTTACGAAAACCTTTGAAAGGCTAGTGCTGTCTCCCTTGAAAACCATCATGGATCTGCTGTTAGACTCCTTTCAATTTGCATACCAAGCAAATAGATGAACAGATGATGCTGTTAATATGGTTCTGCACTACACCCTACAACATCTTGAATCTCCATAGACCTACGCAAGGGTCCTCTTTGTAGACTTTAGTTCAGCATTCAATATCATCATTCCAGACACTCTTCTAAACCAGCTAGAGGTACCTGAACACACATGTAAGTGGATCATAAGCTTCCTAGCAGACAGGAAGCAGCAGGTGAAGCTAAGCAGAATCACATCAGATACCTGTACAATTAGCACAGGGGCCCCCACAAGGCTGTGTGCTCTCCCCACTTCTCTTCACTCTCTACACCAATGACTGCATCTCAAACGATCCATCTGTTAAACTACTGAGGTTCGCAGACGACACAACAGCAATCGGTCTCATTCGAGACAATGATGAATCCGCGTATAGAGGGGAGGTTGAACAACTAGCCTCATGATGCACCTGGAACAATCTGGAACTGATCACACTCAAAACCATAGAAATGGTGGTGGACTTTAGGAGAAACCCTCCCATACTACCACCTCTTACAATACTAGACAACACGGTATCAACAGTAGAGACCTTCACAATTCTAGGTTCTATCGTATCTCAAGACCTAAAATGGACACCTAACATCAAAAACATCATCAAAAAAGCACAACAAAGAATGTTCTTTCTGCACCAACTCAGAAAGCTCAAACTGCCCAAAGAGCTGCTGATACAGCTCTACAGAGGAATTACTGAGTCTGTCATCTGCACCTCTATAACCAGAGTCGGTTTGGCTTTGCAACCCAACAAGACAGGTACAGACTTCAGAGGATAATTAGAACTGCAGGAAAAACAATGGCTACCAACCTGCCTTCCATTGAGGACCTGTATATTGCAAAAGAGGGCTGTCAAAATATTTACAGACCCCTCGCATCCTAAACATAAACTGTTTCAACTCCTACCCTCAAAATGACGCTATAGAGCACTGCACACCAGAACAACTAGACAAAAGTAGTTTTCCCCCAATGCCATCACTCTGCTAAAGAAATAATTCCCTCAACACTGTCAAACTATTCACTAAGTCTGCACTACTATTAATCTTGTCATCGTTCCTATCACCCATCTCCTTCCACTTATGACTGTATGACTGTAATTTCGTTCCTTGTATCCTTACGATTTATATTGATATTGTTTCCTGATTGCTTATTTGTTCCCTATGACTATCATTAAGTGTGGTACCTTATGATTCTTGATGAATGTATCTTCTTTTATGTACACTAAGAGCCTATGCACCAAGACAAATTCCTTATGTGTCCGATCACACTTGGCCAATAAAGAATTCTATTCTATTCTATTTTATAAGCTGCTATTTACTGAGAAGGGAATTTTGGGGCTCCTGGCCTTTTCCTTGCCTGGGGGCGGGGGGGGGGAAGCTGCGGATGCGAAGGAGGCCCCGGGAGGGCTTGGGCCAGTTGGGGGGGCCTGAGGCCTCCCCAAGACCCCGCTCTCTGCTGCTCCCGAGGCCCAATCCCAAGAGGACAATATCAGCCCCGCTTATCATACAGTGTTAAGACTGGGCTAAATTTTAAAGGGGCCTGGTGGCTCAGCAGACTGATAGCATTGTGATTAACAATGCAATTACTGCAAGTTCAAATCTCACCAGGCTCAAGGTTGACTCAGCCTTCCATCCTTTCTAAGGTAGGTAAAATGAGGACCCAGTTTGTGGGGGCAATAAGCTGACTTTGTATAAATATACAAAAGTATGAAGGCTATTGCTTAACGCATTGTAAGCCGCCCTGAGTCTCCGGAGAAGGGCGGCATATAAATCAAATTAAAAAAGCGAAGCTGGCCGGAAGCGCCTCCGCCCGGACTCTCCCGGGGGACGGACCTCCGGGCTCCTTCCGTTACGGGCTGGCGGGCCATGGAGGCCCTGCGGGAGGCGCTGCGGGAGGCGCTGGCGGGCCTGCGGGGCGCCGGCGGAGGCGGAGGCGGGGAGGCCTTCGACCGGGGCCGCTTCTGGGAGGCGCTGGGTGCGGACGCGGCGGCGGCGGCGGAGGGGAGGGGCGGGGCGGCCGCCTGTGCCCGGCCTCCCTGACGCGGGCCTCGCTCTCCTCCCCTCGCAGCGGGAGCCTTCGGGGCCACCTCGCGGGAAGCCACGCGGCTCAGCCTGGCCGCCGCCCGAGCCCAGGTGGGTCTCCCTGCCCGCACTCCCGGCTGGCGGCCGAGGGGGAGGGGGAGGGGGGGGGGGGGGGAGGTGGGGGGGGGGGGGCGGGGGCGGGCGCGCGTGCGGGGGGGAGGGAGGGAGGGAGAGAGGGAGGGGGTGGCAGAGGTTGCGGCCGGCGAGTGGTGCGAGGGTTCCGCCGCTGCTGCTGCCGCCGCTCCTCCTCCTCCTCCTCCTCCTCCTCCTGGGCAGCCTCGGCGGCCGCTCTCCGCCACAGGGGTGGTGGCGTCCGTCCCGCGGTGTTCCGGGCTAGTAAGAGCCGGTTGAGGAAAGGCTGCGGTCCTCCCGAGGGGCGGCTGTCCCGGTGAGAGAGCCCTGCTTGGCTTTAGGGCCGCTGGCTGCTGTTCTCGGCCTCGGCTCAAGGACTCCGCCTTCCTTCCCCCGCCTGCTGGAGCTGATCGTTCTCGGGATACTTTTCCCCACGTATTTCCTGCCACTATAGAGTATTCCGATTGTACGAAACGTTCAATGTTTTTTAGTTGTACCGAAGCTTTTCTGGAATTGACTGCTTAGGTTCCTGATAATTTTGGAAATTCGGCAGCTATTCAGGTTCCGCAAGTTCATATTTTCATAGCAAAGTTTAGATCGTGACAAGAAGGGCGCTTAGTTCTTCTCCGGAAATCAAACTTCGGGTGTGAGGTGGCCTTGTGGCATCCTGGACGGCGGGGTGTGTGTGTGTGTGTGTGTGTGTCAATTGGACCTCTGATTTGGAGACTAAGTGTAGACTGTGTTGTTGTGTGGCTGGATTTGCTTCCTCCTTGAAGTGTTGAGAGGTATGCCAGGACTTGCCCTTAGAGGGCTCTGGCAGGGCGGCCAGATACCTACTTAAGGCGAAGGCAAACCTATTGTGCGTACAAGTGTGGAGAGAATCCTTATTTATAATTGCCACCCAGGGTGGTCACGCTTTGTGCTTTGAGTTGGAGAAAGTTTTTCATCTTGATGTCTATGGAGATTCTGTCATCCAGGTCATGGTGGTCCCAAAGGTGCTTTTTTCAAGAGGCAACTGGACTTTATGTTTTTCCTTTGAAGACGTTTCGCTTCTCATCCAAGAAGCTTCTTCAGCTCTGACAGGATGGTGGGGAACGGAAGGATTTATCCTCCTTGCAGGCAGCTGGTCATTTGCATTCTTTTGGAGCAGTGGTTCTCAAGCTTCCTAATGCCCTGACCCTTTAATACAGTTCCTCATGTTGTGGTGACCCCCAACCAGGGGTGGGTTCTAATTTTTTTTTACTACCGGTTCTGTGGGCGTGGCTTATTTTGTAGGCGTGGCTTGAAGGTCATGTGACTGGGTGGCCATGGCTATGTGTATAGGGACTACCCAGAGGGCTGAAAAATGTGATTTCTGACAGGTCCTCGCACTTTTGACCAGTCTTCGCAGTTATGACTGGTCATCATTTATGCCCATTGTACCATTCTTAACAACCGTGTCACTCATTTCACAACTGCTTCTCTTCACCATGTTGACAAGATAGGGCAAAAACATAAATTGTGAGGACAGTCGTAAGTTCGAGGACTGGTCAAAAGTGCGAGGACCAGTCAAAAATAACTTTTTCAGCCCTCTGAGTAGTCCATATGCATAAAAGGATACAGCAATAGAGAGGGATGAAGGAAGGGAAGGGAAGTTAGAGTAGGAGTGAGGGTAA